TTCTTTTTCTTCTTAAAGAAATCCCTCCAACATTTCCTGTAATACTGGCTTGACGGTGATGAACTCCTTTAGCTTTTCCTTGTCTGAGAAGCTCTTTATCTGACCTTCGATTCTAAATGATAGCTTTGCTAGGTAGAGTACTCTTGGTTGTAGGTCCTCGCTTTTTATCACTTTGAATATTTCGTGCCAAATCCTTCTGGCTGCAAAGCTGTTGAGAAATCAGCTGATGGTCTTATGGGAGCTCCCTTGTAAGTAACAAATTGCTTTTCTCTTGCTGCTTTTAAGATTTTCTCTTTGTCTTTAACCTCTGGCATTTTAATTAGGATATGTCTTGGCGTGGGTCTCTTCGGGTTCGTCTTGTTTGGGACCCTCTGATTTCCTGGGCTTGTATATCTATTTCCCTCACCAGGTTAGAGAGGTTTTCCATCATTATTTCTTCAAATAGGTTTTCAATTCCTTGCTCTCTCTTCATCTTCTGGTACCCCTGTGTTGTGAACGTTAGTATACTTGATGTCGTCTCAGAGGTCTCTAAACTATTATCATTTTTTTTTTTTGGATTCTTTTTTCTTATTGCTGTTCTGATTGGGTGTTTTCTGCTACCTTATGTTCTAAATTGCAGATTCGCCCCTCTGCTTCATCTAATGTTGATTCCTCCTAAGGTATTCTTATTTTCAGTTGTCATATTCTTCATTTCTGACTGGTTGTTTTTTACGTTTTCTATCTCCATTTTTATATTTCCTATCTTGTTGTTGAAGTTCTCACTGAGATCACTGAGCATTCATACAAGTGTTTTGAACTCTGCATCGGGTAGGTTACTCGTCTCCATTTCGTTTAACTACTTTTTCATTCTCTTCTTTCATTTGGGACCTGTTTCTTTGTCTCCCCATTTTGGCTGCCTCCCCATGTTTGTTTCTATGCATTAGGTAGGGCCGCTGTGTCTCCTGGTCTTAGTAAAGTGCCCTTATGTAGTAGGCATCCTGTGGAGCCCAGTGACACAGTCTCCCTGGTCACCTAAGCCAGATTCTCCAGGTGTGTCCTTTGCGTGGGTTGTGTGTGCTCTCCTGTTATAGTCGAGCCTTAATCACTTTTGCACGTCAATGGGAGGGACTAATCCTCAGGTTGATTGGATGTGAGGACTGCTCACGACCGCAGTGGAGGAGCAGTCATGCAGGGGCCGATTCTACAGAGCAGGCTTCGCTTTAGCAGGTCTCTGGTGCCTGCCCAGTCTGCCCTTTGGGTGTGTCATTTGCGGAGGTGGTTGGGTGGTGCTCTAGTGTGGTCTGAGCTGGCTACTGGGTGTGTTAGTTCCAGGGCCTTTGGGAGGGGCTCCTGTGCAGGCCAAGGTCAGCCACTGCTTGTGCCCTGCTTGGGGCCACTTGGTATGAGCTACAAAGTGATCCGCGGATGGTTGCCACATATGCTGGGCTAGTAGGTGCCTGGGAGAGGTTAAGTTGCAAACTGAGGCTGGCTGCTACTAGTCCCGGGCTTGGGGCTGCCCAGCAAGAGGAATGAGTCATGCCGAGGCCAGATGCTACTTGTGTGGGGTTTGTGAACCTTTGAGAGACTTTAGGAAATTCCATAGCATAAGCCAAGACAGGCCATTTATGTAGAAAAGCCAGAGGAAGCAGCTTGGGTGGGCCCACACCTTGGGGAATCAGCTGGGCGGGGCAAGCGGAGTCAGCCAGGTTGATAGAGATTCAGATGTGGCACCCACTTGTGTCTGCATGCTGGGAGTGGGGAAGGGCTCAACAAAGAGACAGTAGCTTTTATTAGCACTTCTGTCTAAGAGAAAACTGCCCCTCCAGCCCTCACCCTGAAGCCAGACTACTCAGTCACTCCCCATGTGTCCCTGATGCCTTTCAAGCTGCTATCCCAGTGCTGGAGCTCAGAGCGAGCAAGTCCATCAGCAGTAAGTCCATGCAGGCCCTTTAAGAGAAACACCTGGAACTCCAGCCTCCCTCTGTGTCACTCAGCCACCATCCCTGCTGGTTTTCACAGCTAGAAGTTGTAGAGACTCGTCTTCCTGGCACTGGAACCCTGGCCTGGCGAGCCCGGTGTGGGGCTGGGACCCCTTGCTCCTCCAGGGGGGACCTCCGCAGCTGAGACATCTCTCTGGATTCTCAACCACCACACGCAGGTGTGGGAGAGCCTATTCCCCAGTCTCCGCCCCTCTTGTGAGTCTCGAGGTGGCCTTTTCTGTATGTCCTTAGTTACAGGACTTCTGTTCAGCCAAACTGCAGGCAGTTCTCAGTGATGGTTGTTCTGTAGTTCAATTGTAATTTTGAAATGGTCATGGGAGGAGGCTAGCACAGTGCTTCTCCATCTTAACCAGATTTTTTTTTTTTATTTGAAACAGCAAAACTACTACTAGGAACTTACCCCTACAGATTTATTTGAAAAATGCATCGCGGTTGCGTTTACAACAGCAGAACCCTGGAAACTGCCTCCCTGCTAGACGATATAGTCTATGTGATTTCAATTCTTTAAAATTTTTGAGGTTTGTTTTACGACCTAGGTTTGGTCTATCCTGATATATGTTCCGTGGACACATGAAAAGAACGCACTCCGGTTTTGTTGGATAGACTGTGTTTTATGAACGTCAGTTAGATCCCGTTGGCTGATGGTGGCCTCGAGCTCTCCTGTGTCCTCGCCGATATTTCGTCGAGTTGTTATGTCAGTTATTGAGAGGGAGTGTTGACGTCTCCGACTCTCTTGGGGATTTTTGTAGTTCTTCTCTGAGTTGTTTCTTTTCCCCCCCCCCA